GTACATGATTAATTTTCTCATTATACAAAAAAGTTCACATTTTTTCATTTATATCAAAAGGGTTTCTTATTCGGGGCAGTTCCATGACATTGCCCGGTAATGTCATGGGACCAGGGGTGCTCCGGTGGCTCGATCGTAAAATTGACGGTACCCACCCCAAAATCCCCCGGTAAACCCCCCACCCTCCCCAACCGAACACACCCTCCACTTTCTTTAATTGCACCTCACAAGTTGATTTTGACTTTTGAGTCAAAATACAAACGGGGCACCGGAGCACCCCGGGTCATCCCATGACAAAGGGTTCCAATGTCACGAGAATCCACCGTTCTTATTTTCTCATTTACTTTTTAAGTAAAGAATATGTGGTTCAAATCCTTTTCTTCTCATATCTAAAAAATTAATTAATTTTTTAAAACATTTTTTTCATTTTTTAAAATGAAGTATAAATAAAAGAAAACCAATAAAAGATTCCATTTTACAAACATAGGTTGGAATGTTCTTTGTGGTTAAGGAACGTAATGGAGAAGTCGATAGTTGATGATGACGAACATAATAAAGCAATACAATACACATGTTAAGGGGTATATTCAACTTAAATTTTACAAGATTATGCTAGACTTTTTATAATCCATGGATTATGTAAGATTTATGGATTGTCTTAATTCTATATATATAGATTTCAATATAATTCAATCTATTTTATTGTAAAGATTTATCAAGATTCTAATAGATTGTTCTCAGTCTAAATTGGTTAAAAAAGAAAAAAGAAGAAGGAAGGCTTTGGATCGAACATTGTCGTCGCCGAGCCGGCCCCCAAGCCGCCTCCCCCCATCCCGTTGCATATGATGGAGAGGATCCCCCTCCACTGAAAAAATTAGTAATTCACAAGGTGATTATACATAGAAATATTTGCACTAAATAGCACTTAAACTGTTTTATTCTCTAAATAGCACTTATAATGTCCATAATGTCCAGTGATAACAAAATTTTGCTTGAATAATGACTAATGCATAATGACTAAAAGTGCTACATTGGAAAGAAAAACATATGTAGTGCTATTTAGAGAAAGTCATTATGTTTTAGTGCTATTTAGGTAAATTCCTCTTATACATAAACCCAGTTCATATAGCAGCAAATTAGCACGAAAATAGAAAAAAGAACTGGATCTGAGAACCAAACACTTTCCATACGGAATAAACAATGCGAAACACTAGGGGTGCAAATGGATATTAATCAAATCGGATGTGCCATTACTAAATCCATATCCGTTTATTTTTATTGGATATTGAATTCGGATACGGATCTTGACGAATACTGAAAATCAAAATCGTATCCGCATCCGTTTGATATCGATCGGATATCTGATACTCCCTCCGTCCATGTATGATCTTCCCATAACGCGTTACGAGGCTTGACCGACTTTATTTTCAATTCAATTTAATTGATTATAGGAGTAAAATTTTAAAATAAAATTTATATAGTAATAAACTACATGAAAAGTTCTACAAAACTAGAGTTGACAAGACTATACTATTTTATGAAATGACTAGTAAAATTGAGTAAAATAAAGTGAGTAAAGTTTGACCCTGTAAATAGTGTCTGGGAAGATCTATGGTGGACAGAGGGAGTATATCCGTATCCGTTTCCAATTTTTAAAATCAAATTAAACAATACTTTAATTTTAAATTAGATTAAATCAAACTATTATTAAATCAATTACTCCGTATAATTTGTTATGGGATAATTATTTTCATTTTTTTCATGATTTATGATATTCTACGATAACTTCATATGATAAAAAAATATACACAACACACATATTCACATATATTTATATCTCTGTACATATTTTATGTGTTTACACATTTATTTTGTACATAAAAATGTCTTATATTTTGAAATATCAATAGAGAAACAAAATATAAACGTACTCCTCTGTCCCAGAAAACTTTTTTCGTTTCTTTTTTCATCCGTCCCAAAAAACACTTCTCATTTCTATTAAAAAGTCACTTTTACCCCTTACTTTTTCATACCCTACCTATCACATCATACTCCCTCCGTCCCAAAATATTCACAACATTTGCTTTTTCAGCAGTCGCGGAAACTTTTGTTTATTTATACGTTTTCATTGGTTATTTGATAAAATAAAATATTCTTGACACCTCTTATTTCGAAGAACTTTTCATGTAGTAATGTAAATTTTATTTTTTATTTCCATACCAATATGTAAATAAAATGAATTGAAAAAACTTGATATTTTACCTTGAGAATACAAGTGTGGCAAATATTTAGGGATGGAGAGAGTACCTTTTTACTAATAATATATCCATCAAATCATACTTTTATCCATCACATCAAAGGACATTTTTGGTAATTCAATACCAAAATACACTCCCCTTAAATCTCTCTCCAAAACCAAAACTTTCATGTTTTCCGGGATGGAGAGAGTATAAAATTAGGAAAAACTATATATAACAGATCAAATATTCGGATAAACAGTTATTTAAACGGGTGCATATTCAGATCGGATTTTAAATGGATCAGATATACAATTACCAAATTTGTATCCATTTAGTAACCGAATATCCTTAATCGGATATGGATAATACCCGTTTAAAACAAATGCGGATATTTCTTCTTTAAATGGATACAGACGATAATCGGATTTTCGGCTATCTGTTGGCAGCCCTACGAAACACCAAATTGACACCAAAAATATGGCGGAAACGAGGTCGGAGACTAGAAAGTGAAGATGAGAACAAAGATAGAGAAATCAACTTGTAGAAGGAGGTGGGGGTGTGTTCGGGTCGGGGTCAGGTGGGGGGTTTACCGGGGAGGTTAAGGGGGATACGAACCGTCAATTTTACGAATGGGAAACCGAAGCGCCTCCGGGTCATCCCATGACATCAAAGTTCAATGTCACTTGAACCTTCTCGGGAGAATAAACTTGTGTGAAGAAAAGGTAAATATGACAACTAATGTTCTTTACCCTTTCATTTATCTCCCCTCCTTTGGAGTTACTTTAGTGAGATGGTTTGAAGGTAAATGCTTCATACGTCTTAACCCTCATATAAACCTCTGACCTCTCATAAAATCGAGGTATTATTCATGATCCAAATTAGCATAATTGATGGTGTCCCAAATTGTTTAATTTTCCACATTTCAGACTGGAATACCAGGCTTTAAATTTCAAGTTGCAATTTACGGTTAGATACCCAGCATCTATAATTTTATTGAAAAATATACTCTAGACTTGTATTAAAATTTATATATCATGAATAATTTCATCAAAATGATTAAATACAATGATATTCCCAATTATACTTTATCTAGAAATAACAAAAAAAAGAAATTGAACTTAAAAGAATACTCTCTATGTTATAAAAAGAATTTTCACTTATTTTTTCCATCCATTTCAAAATAGAATTGTAGTATTTTCGTTTTAAAATTCACATGTGAAATATTAACCTTCTCACATATTTTATATGAACTTATAGTTGAATCTCTTTTTTTAAAAAAGCCCAACACATATAACTATTTCATGTATTAAAGTCGATATGATAACTATGGACCTAAGAATCATAATAAAATTTGCCTTCAAATAAAAAAATATATTTTCATTTTTTTCTTTCTAAAGAAAGAAAAGGTCACATGGCTTTGAATATTTTCTTTCACTTTTTTTTACCAATTATTTAAACTTTGTAAAGTCAATTCTTTTTTTTTGGACGGGGAGGGGGGAGGGACGACGAAGGGATTTGATAATACTCCGTAGTATTTAACTTTCTTAAACACATTTTGTATTAGGGATTTTTCTGTGATATTTATTCAATTACAATGGAGTACCAGTTCATACTTTTTTTAAACCTAAAGAAGCATATTGCCTCTGCCTCTACTAGGGAGTGGGATTTCTACCACTCTAGACATGAGAGAAGTTTATACTGGCATTTAGGGTATATATATTCCAAATAACAAGTTTTTTTGTGACCAAATTACAAGTTATTTTAGACAAGTCTTTTAAACAACTAGTATTTTTACAAAAGTATTTTTACACTATAACTACTTTTAAAAATATTTACTAATTAATTTGTTGACAAAATTTAATTTCCGTGTTAATCGAAATAAAGCCTTGGCGCATCAGTAAGGTTGTTGCGGTGTGATCATGAATTCGAGTCTTGGAAGTAGGCTCTTTGTAGTTGCTTACATTACACGCTTGTGATGGGATCCTTTCTTTAACCCCCGTTTGCGAGGACTAAGAGCCAGTTTGGGAATAACGTTTTTGATTAGCGTTAGCGTTTTGGATAAAATTTTAATGGTGTAGATTAATTTCGAAAACGCTAACGCTAAAGGCTACCCGTAGATAGCTTTTTCAAACCACTCACGTTAATCTCTAACATTTTTCCCAAACAGGCCCTAAATGTACATTGGGATGTCAAATGAGTAACCAAAATAAAAAAAGAAAATAAATAAAATTTTAGATCTATGAATAATTAGGAGACAACGTAATTTAAGACGAATGGAGTATAAAAAAATCTTTCTCCACTAATTTTGTCCCTTCTTTTAACAATACTGTCCCAAAATTTATCTCATGCCACATTTGGTGTCATTTATGTCGCTCAAAATCCCCTAATCCATTGTTGATATTTACCAATTAACACACATTTCCATTTTCTCTATAAATTTGCACCCATTTTCATGTTTTTTCCTAAAATAGTATAACCGAGCAATATATTTTGTTGGGAAATGCTAGGAGTACCCCAATAATTGTACACTATTTGTACCCCAAAGACAAACACCGACATTTATGTACCCGAACAGACATAAATGTCTATAATTGACTTTGATATACAAATAGTGTACAACTGTTAAGGTACCCAGTAATTTTCCTTTTTTTGTTTGGTCACCTGGAGTTTGCAATGGTGTGTAATGCATTTTTAGGTCACAAAATAAAATAAAATATAAAATTCCAACCCAATAGAAAAACATTGCAAATCTTGAAAGGATTCACCAAAATAACTTTGTTCCAAAAAAGAAAAAAATTAATAATGCGACTTCACTCCTAGCCTATGCTGCTACTACTAGCAATGGTTTTTATACTCCTTTCCTTAGCACTATGTTTGGTTCAAGTAATTTCAAAGGGCAAGGAAAAAAAAATGAGAAGGAAAACGTTTTTCTTGTTTGGTTACAGAGGAAAAGTGGAAGGAAAAGAAAATGAGAAGGCAAAATGTACTAAGAGGAGGGAAAACCAAATCCTCTGATTTTGGTGAGGAAACTGAGGTTAAATCATTTTCTTTTCTTTGCTTTCCAAATTCTTTGAACCAAACATAGTGTAAAAGGATTCCAAAAACAAAGTTTTCTTTCCTGAACATTTCGGGAAAGAAAACGAGAACTCCGATACGGAGGAAGAATGTATTAAAAAATCACTGGCAGCAATTTGGTTGGTTCTCAATCTGTAGCTTCTCCCACAGGCACAGAACCATCCTTGGATTCTGATAATGGGCAAGAATGTAATTTGACTCACAACCCGCATTGTAGAACCGGTCGTCGTTTACGTATTTCACCCCGCGCCCATTGCGTTTGAACTCTTCAATCCATATACCCACCGCGACGTCTTCCAGCTTAAAAAGCTGCACGCAATTTACCATGAGCTCCCTCTTTTTAGATAACAATATGATGATCCAAGAAGATGAGAAGTGAATGAAATTACCATGAGGTCCCTGTTTTGATGACCCTCGACGATGAACTTGGCGATATCTCGTGAAATGATGTAGCCCGGACCATGTGCCCAGGGCGGATATGATGAATAAGGCCATTCCTGCACGTAAGCATCAATCAAAAGCTCAAGTTTGTGGTTGTAGGTCCAGAAAAGATTTTATTATCTAACAGAGTGACCTAGGAAAATATTCGAGTTAAGGAAAAATAGTACTACCTCAGTACTGATGTACCATTTGTTTTCCTTGTCCCGGTGGGGAGAAGATTCAAAAGATATTCGACCATACAAGAGGCCGTCCTTTTGCTTCTCTTTGAGGCTTGAAAGAACTTCATCTATCCTTACAAACGCGTTGTCGTCCGTTTTCATGATATAGTTAGCCGGGATGATTTTCACCTGGCATACACAACATTTACGTACAACATATATGTGTTAAAAGTCCCACATGCCGAAACGTAACATAAAGAGAATGACAGGTTAATAAGATTACGTTAGGTTAAAGTAACGAATCGACTAAATTCAATTTTTTAACGTGTTTAGACTGGCATACCCCAAGAATGCATATCGCAACGGTTTTCAAACTGAGTAGGCTGTAGTAATCAACAAATGGCATCAGCTGAACATCTCTGTATGTTTCAGCTTCTTTCCACACCTCCAAATTCACCTGCTTGCTTTTATGCTGCATCCAATTTTTTTTTAACAAAACAAATCAAATCTCCACTCCTAAAATTATTACTTTATTATTATTGTCAACGAACCAACTCAACTAAAAGCTCAATCTTTAGGATGTAGCACCAGGAAAGGTTTTTATATTCTAACAATTATTATTATTATTATTATTATTATTATTGTTATTTGAAATGGATCTCTACTCACGAGACCAATGAAAAAGCGGACAGCCACTTGCCCAGAGCGCACGGCATCATACTGCATCCACGACTTCCTCAAAGCCATCCGTCTGTCGAAATGGTTTCCCTTTGAGAAAACTCCGACCACGAGAGTGAGCCGTTTCTTGGCACTGAGAAATGGAGCTTTGAGGTGGTCAATATCAGCCAAGTCTGGATCTTGAGAAACTGGCAGTCCTTTTGCTAAGGCTGATACAATGCCCAACCCACCATCCACTTGGACTTCATTAACCAACCACGGCTCCAGTTTCTACAAAATCATCACAAGTTGTACTCAAGCCCTTGAGTACATAAGCTAAGTTAGTAGAAATTCTCGCCTCGTTTTCCCAAACCGAGGCGGGAATCTATTTTCTCAATTATCTTCAGAATGTTACAGAAGATATGACCTTAAATTGAAATGTTTGGAGGTCTAGGATTACACTAGTTGAATAGATCTTTGGACCTAAATTTGAAGTTTATATTGATGTGTTTTAGATAAGGTCTACGCGTGCGCGCACACACGCACACACAATGATCTAGCAACCATACCTCACCTCTCTATAGGCAAAAGAGGTTTCATGTCTTCCATTCACAGTCATATGAAACCCTTCCGAACCAGCCCATAACGTTGAAGTAAACAGGACACCTTTAGCAAATGGGAAATAATCATGACTTCTTCCTTGTTCAGTCCCATTCGAAGCGTCACTCATCTCTCCATTTGAAACAGGCCGATCTGGGTTGCTTCTGATCACTTTAGCATTACACGTCGCAAGTCCATCAACTGAAATATATATATGTATATATATGCATATATAGGAAGAAGGAGAAAAGAAAGTGTTACTCCCTTCGTCCCCCAAAAAAAGGTCAGATTTTGAACTTTCCACAAATCACATCAAAATTCAATCTAACTGTGAGATTTCATCCCAAACCAATTGACAATGGGAGGAGTAACTCGCAGTCTTATATATATAAATATATGTATTAGTCTTTCACCTTTTAGCGTGTGGGTGGAGCCATGATTCGGGCACCTCTCCTCTTTGCCCCAACCAGAAGCATTGGTCCATGTGTTTTGAACTATAACCGGATTTCTAGTCAAGTTCTCCCCCGGCAAAACAACATTATAACACAGCAAAATGGGGGGCTTTGGATCCTCAAGAAGCCGAGAAGCAACAAGATTGATTTGGAAGCTCTCCTTTTGCGACTCGGGCACCCCAATCACAGTAATGGACGAGTCCTCGATCAAACCGCAAGGAATCTTAATAACAGTCCCATTCCTCCATACCAAGTAAGGACACTCCTTTTCATCTCCCTTCTCATCGAAAATTTCAACTTGTTTAATATTCGACAACAACTCTTTCCAAGCCACAGAGCCCTCCTTGATTCCCTGAGCTGTCTCGGGCAGTGCATCTGTCCGAGAGAGCAAGGACCTCATCTGGCCCCACACAAGCATACCCGCTTTCGAAACATTATCAACCGGGCCAAACAAATCATCCAACCCGTCAAAGTTGACAAACCGGGGCTTTTCTTTGAAACCGGAATACTCAATTTCCTTCATAGGAGGCACCTTTTCCTCCTCATTTTCGTCATTGCCAATATCTTTCGCATAATCCTCCGCGTTATAGCCACTGATGGGTGGGTGATTGTTGAAAAAATCGTACGCGGATTGTTTTCGCAAGGGTTTTTCGATGGAGCAGTAGCGAATAAACAATGTAACAGCAAGGCCTAAAATGAGCAAGTATCCTGCCCACTTCTTCATTCCTTTTCTCCCTACGCCGCCAGATTAGAGTTTCTAGTTTGATGAACACCTAACATTGTCCAAAATTGACACAAGAATGTTAGTCACATACAACTATACAAACACATAAAGTTCTGGATGGAGCACAACAAAATTGAATTACACTTTGTCAAAAAAGAAAAAAAAAAGATTCTTTTTTTTTCCTACTTCAATAAGTATATTAAGGCTCTCCATGGCAAAATTACCTGAAAAGGGTTACAAGTGAAATGGTGATTTGGGTATTTCTCATATATCACATTTTTTTCTGGGTTTGGGTTCAAATGGCAAATAGGGACAGATCTTGAAACTGAGAAAGGAGCTTCAAGAAGAGAACAGAGTGCTTCAATGGAGATTTGGAATAGGAATATGAGTAAAAAAAACGGACCTTTAGAAAATAAACACGAATATGAAAAGCTGTATATGAACCTTAATAAGAATACAGTATAATACCGAAAATCAAAGATAAAATTAAAAATAAAAAGGCAGTTTCTTGATTTAGCTAGAGCTGAAGAGATGAAAGCTTGGGTTCTGGAGTTGGGGCTTATAGTGTAGTAGTAGCATATTCAGCTCAGACGACGTCGTTCCGTTTCTCTATGTCGGAGTAGGAATATGAACTGTACAGCCTGTACCGTCGACCAGCCGACAAGTGATGTCCGGTAATTTTTAGACCCAGCAGATACTACCGGCCGAATACTAAGGGGGTGTTTCTTTTTTTGGAAGAGGTTTTGGTCTTTTGTCTGCGCACAGACGCGCGCAAATGCTAAACTCTACAGATTGTTTGTTTTTTGGAAGATATTTCACTAAAAAATATTTTCCTGACATCTTCTTGGAGAAGACATTAACCTATGTCTTCTAACATCTTCTCCATTTTTCTTCTTCTACTNCATGCAGGTTTAGTGCAACATGCAGATTGTTTATTTTTTTGAAGATATTTCACTAAAAAATGTTTTTCTGACATTTTCTTGGAGAAGACATTAACCTATGTCTTCTAACATCTTCTAACATCTCCATTTTTTTCTTCTACTTCTCTTCACCACCACCACCGTCCACCACCATCACCGCCACCTTCGTCCACCACCACCGCCGTCAATGTCCACCACCACCCTCCACCACCACCACAATCGTCCATACACCACCACCGTACACTACCACCACTAATTTATATAACAGTCTACAGACATTAAAAAACAAACAGTCTTCTTCTTGCAGACCGCAGACCTTCGGTCCACCACTTCTCCTGCAGATGTCTACAGTAGTGGTCCGCAGACTGCAGACCTTTTCCTGCAGAAAAAACAAACACCCCCTAAGGGTACGTTTGGTCTTCATTTATTTTCCAGTATCTACATTTTTTATTTAGCAATGCTAGGGTACACCTTTAATGTACACCATCTCCTTCTTCACCACTCATTTTTATTTGATTTTTATTTTTTTGATTTTCTTGCAATTATGTGGACAAGAAGGGGGTGGAGGACATATGGGGTACACCTTTGGTGTACTTCTAGCATTTTTCTTTTTTATTTCCTTAAAGAAAAATGCTAGGGACACACCAAAGGTGTACCCCTTTGTCCCTCACCCCCTCCATTATCACAAAAATGGGCAAGAGACTAAAAAAAGTTAAATAAATAAAAATGGGGTAAAAATGAGTGGTGGAGAAAGGGGTGGGAGACAAATGGGGTACACCTTTGGTGTACTCCTAGCATTGTTTTTCCTTAAATAATGCTTGAATAATGTCCAGTGGGAATAATGTTGAGTGGACATTGAACAGTGATATTACATTGAAAAATACTCTCTCCGTCCCACTCTTTTTGTCCACTTACCTTTTGGCACACCATCCAATGCACTTCTTTAATCCATTTTATCTTGTAATTTGTATATTAAAAAATTATAAAAATTATATATTAATAATCTATATGTTAAGACAAATCAAACAAGATCACACATGACTATATTTAGGCTTAAACATTGAGAGAATTTGATGAGTCAAAGTGCTTAAATGAACAGTTTCAAAAGTCAAAAGTGGACAAAGAGAGTGGGACGGAGGTAGTAAATACATATAGGCCCTTTTTGGTACATGGAATTCAAAATATGGAATCGGAATTGAGGACTTCAATTCCAATTCTGGTGTTTGGTAGCAAAAAACGTATGTGAATTTGAAATTGATAGTACAAAAAGTGAATTGGAATTGCTGAATTCAATTCTATGGAATTGAGTCTCATGAAATTTCAATTCCGTATACCAAACGGACCCATAGTACTATATTGTGAAACTCACTATGTTTTAGTATTATATAGATAAATTTTCCTTTGATCATTACTAAAAAAGGATGAGTCTCATGGGATCCTCTCAAAATTGATAAGAGAATATAAATTAAATTATAATCACAAAGTAACAAATACATAGTGAAGCCTATACCGCACAATTACCAGAAATAGAACTCGCTCTACCCCTATGGCACCCCTTGCTCAACCACACAATTTGACCATTATTCTATTTACTCCTTATCTCCCCAAAAAATGTCTTCTTTCGAACTACGTGAAAAATCTAACTATTTTTAAAATAATTTGAGTTACAAATTGGTATATAATTAAAAAAATTTACATAAATATTTAAAATAACATTAAAATTTCTATAAAGAAATTGATAACATTATTATTTTATTTTATAAAATGGTCTATGAAAAGAATTAAGAACAATCCAAAATAGCTAAGAGGTCAATTGTTTTGAGACGGAGAAAATATATATAAAACATATACGGAGTATAAAATATTATACAAATGTAATATTTTAAAATTACATTTTGAAATAAATCTATAATTTCTTGTCACAACTCAATCTATTTTTTGGTAGTTTTAATCTAAATCTAAAAAGTTGGGGAGAAAAATTACAATGAGAAAGTATCACAGAGTATCATTATCCTTTGCATGTCTTGGGTGATGCTTATATTAAACATACGGAGTATTTCTTATTTGATATTTCTCGACATCAAAATAATTATAATTTATGAATAAACGTGCGTGGATTTTTCTTAGTTTCAAAAGATATCAAATGGAGATTTTTGAAAAACAGCATTTGGGATAGCTTTTGGCATCTTTGACTGACGTTGGCTTTTTTGACCAAGCGAACCGCCAAAACCATTGTTTGGCTAATGGTTTTTTCACTTGGCATTTTGATCCGAAAAGCCAAAATTTGAAATGCCAAGGTGAGTAGCATTTGGACTTGGCGGTTAGGAAAAATATTTTTTTTAAAATCATTTTTGTTGAAAGATATTTTATAATATATGTAAAAAATAAAAATAAAAGTTAAAAAAATTAAATACGAAAAAATAAAATGAAATTTAAAAAAAATTATATTTATAATTCATTAAAAAATTTATATTTATAATTTATTATGAATTAAATGAAATTAAAATTTAATATTCCACATAGTAAAGATTTAATTTTTACATGTAAAAAAATGAAAAATAAATATCATGTCTATATATATATATATATAAATTTTTATTTAATTTTTTTAATTTAAAAAAATATATTTATGATATGATATTTAAAAAAAATTGTAAAATAAAATATACCATAAATGGAGGGATGTCCTTTTATGTAATTTTATTTACAAACAGCTAACTATAAACAGCTAAAGTTGCCAAACACTTAAAATTTAACTGCTAACAGAAACAGCCGGTCAAAACAGCTAACTCAATCAGCCATTCAAATCAGCTAACATAAACAGCCAACAGCCAACTGTCAACTGCTAGTATCCAAACAAGGCCATACTCTATATGATTGTGTAAATTAACTATATTAGGCAGTGTTTTCTTCAACTTATTGCTTATTACTAGTTCTTATTTAAACCAAATTAGATCAGAAACAATTTCATTTATAACTGCAATCAAATCAGACCAAATCAAATCAGATCTTCAAAAAATCAAATCAGATAGGGCTAGTAATAAAAATCCGGCTCTTTCAAAGGAAAGTTTTACACAAATATTTATAGGAGAAAATGCAACGTTAATGTTAAGTACTCTTGATATGTCACTTGCATTGTTACTCATGATTGATACTGGGATTGTTAATCGATCCAAGACCGGACCGAACGAACCTAACACTGAATTGAACAATATCCCATACCGAAGACCAGACCTAAACTTATTCGATTTTGAACCTGGCCAAACCAAAATACTTGGGATCGAACCGTTACGGACCGATTAGAACTAATGGTGACATCTCACTATGTGAATACATCAACTCCAAAAATGCTGTTAATTTTTGAACTGCAGAGGACCTTAGCTCATCCACTTGAATAATGAACATTTAGACTTCAAAAGAATATTAATTGTACCAAAGCTAGTACTCCCTGGCTTTTACATACCAAACAAACACTGAAAACACCCTACAAAGTGATAGCTGAAAACAGATCACAAAAGCCAATCCGAAGTGGTGGCTGAAAACAGATCACAAAAGCCAATCCAATTCTTCATACAAGTCAATATGGTCACACATGTGACCAATTAAAAAAAAACAATGTGTACTTTTTTTTGTTAATCACTGTCAGGCTAACAAAAAGAAAAATCAATATCCCATATGGAAACCAAAACCTTGTCTAAAAACTCCACCCTCAACCCCAGCACGTCATATCAAGTTCTCCGGTGTATGTTTAATAAGCAGTTGGAGAGTAAGAGTCAAAAGAAAGAGAGTCAAAAGAGAGAAACACACACAAGCAAACAATGGCAGCCAACCCCCATAAATGAAGCCCACAAGCCACAACCTGAGTATCAGTGCATCCATCCCTCACCTGGGAAAAAACCAAACAAAATATGCTTTTTTGAGGATTTGCGGTCCACGACAACAAGGGACCTCGACAGTAAATTTAGATGTACAGTGAAAAATCAAGCACTTGAGAGACATTGATGGCCATGTCTTCATCAAACTTTCGGCATTGCAGTTTTCCCAGAACCAGTATTCTCACTACACTGAAAGGATTTGGGATCGAGTTGAATAGATCCAACTCTTAGGAAGCCAGAAGGTTCGGCACATGCATTAATTTTCACGGGCACAGATCCTACTGTGACCACATCAACTGATTGGTTGCTTACTGGAGTAGCAGTATTAGTTGAAGTAGAAACAGTGTCCCTAGGATCGGACTTGGGGGGCTGCTTAGCATGTATAGTGAGAGAACCAATCTTCACAGCACTATCATCAATGCTACTTGCCACAATTTTCCCACTTTCATTTGCACCATTTTTGTTGATTTCATGCACTTCTGGAATCTCCTCCTCGGACTTCTTGGGATCACAAAGCTTTGATGCTTGTTCGTCCCTCGCCGCACTTTTTTTAATTTCGTTTGAAACAGATTTATTGGTTTTAGGCAATCCCCCACCACTCCCAGACTTCTTGGGA